ATTTTATTATGATTTTTATATATTAAATCTTAAAATTAAAATAATATAATCTTTTCATTATGAAAATCTCATATTAAAATTATCAAAAAAAAAGTGCTAGTTTCTGTAAAGTATCTCTGCAACTGCTCAACAAAATTTGATGATTTTTTTTTTGATTTTACGGTTATGTTGAATCAAAATAAAAAAAAAACCATCGAATTTGGTTGAGCAGTTGTAGCAATATCTTTGCGTAAAGTTTTGAAACGGTGACAAAATTTTGCAAAACTTTGAGTGAAGATATCTCTGCAACCAATCGATCAAGTTTGATATTTTTTTTATTAAGTGTACAGATCTGTGGAATCAAAAAAAAAAAGATTTATCGAATTTGGTTGGGTGGTTGTTGAGATACCTTTGCTCAAAGCTTTGAAACCATATAGAACGCCTGTCAAAATAACATCCGCAGCAAAATTTTGTAAAAGTTTGAACGAAAACACCCCGGCGCCCACTCAATCAAATTCAATGATTCTTTTTTATTTTGATTCTACAGAAGCATAGAATCAAAATAAAAAAAATTTATCCGATTTTATTGGATGGCTGTTGAGGTATCCTTGCTAAAATTCTTGAAAAAATAGATTTTATATATACTAAAATGCATCAATAACGTAACAGATTTAGGGTGTGTGTAGATCTATCAAAATCGATACTTTTGCGGACGCTTACCGTGAATGTTAATCACATAATAATATTTGTCTTGAGCCAATAATATCTTTCTCATGTGATTTATTTTCATACGTAACTTGGTGCAAAAAAATTTTGGCAAAAAATTCTGATTTTTTTGAAAAATTGCTTTCGAAAAATTTGTCCCTTAAGCTTTTTCGGACTTTTTGGATAACTCGCTCTTTAAAATGCAAAGTGAAAAGTATTTTTAATAGTATATTTAGCCGTACAAATTCATCTAAGAAAGATGACTCTAATGCAATAAATAAGCGTGAATATAATTACCAGTGTGGAATAGGGGTTGTAAAGAATGAAAATAAGGCATTTTATTCATTGTTATCGCCATGGAATAGGGGTTGAAAAGGATTAACATAAAGCGCTTATTCATTATCAAAAATCTGCAGAGATGGGAAATGACAGTGCAATATATAATCTTGGAGATTGTTATCGCAATGGAATAGGGTTGAAAAGGATGGACATGAAGTATTTATTCATTATCAATAATCTGCAGAGATGGGAGTTGCTGATGCAATAAGTCAAATTGGGTATTGTTATCAATATGGAATAGTGGTTGAAAAGGATGAACATAAAATAAAGCATTTATTCATTATCAATAATCTGCAGAGATGGGAAATGACAGTGTAATATTTAACCTTGGAGATTGTTATCGCCATGGAATAGGGGTTGAAAAGGACGAAAACCAAGCATTCATCCATTATCAAAAATCTGCAGAGAAGGGAAATGCAACTGCAATAAATCAAATCAGATATCGTTATCGCCATGAAATAGGGGGGCTGAAAAAGATGAACATAAAGCATTTACCCATTATCAAAAATCTGCAGAGATGGGGATGACAGTGCAATATATAACCTTGGAGATTGTTATCGCGATGAACATGAAGCATTTATACATTTTCAAAAATCTGCAGAGATGGGAGTTGCTGATGCAATAAGCCAAATTGGATATTGTTATCAATATGGAATAGGGGTTGAAAAGGATGAACATAAAGCATTTATTCATTATCAAAATCTGCAGAGATGGGGTTGCTGATGGAATAGGGGTTGAGAAGGACGAAACCAAGTATTCATCCATTATCAAAAATCTGCAGAGATGGGAAATGTGACTGCAATAAATCCACCTTATTAAAACAAGAAAGAGGATCATCGAGGTTGAAACTTAATTTACACATGCGTTAATCCTTGAATTATCCTTGAATTATGATTTCATGAATTTTTGTATTAAGATATTATTTATTAAAGCAAAAAGACCGCATTTATATTATACATTAGGGAATGGTGTCTTGATTTGTTAATAATATTGGAATGTGAAATGAAAATCAAGAACGAGCGTAAAAGCCTTAACTAGGGTATTCTAAAGAGAAAAACAATTCTTATACCACTAATTTAAATGTAATCTACACTCTACCCTCGTTATAACGGATCCGTTATAGAAGATTTCTTACTATAACGGAGTAATTCTCTAGAATATTTTAAAATTTTATTATTACAATATAGGATACTATAGCGAATATTTATTATAACGGATAAAAATTCTCAGCCAGATCACTCCGTTATAACGAGGGAAGAGTGTAGATACCTTAAATGAGCTTTATTCTAATAAAAGTTTTTTAAGCTCAAACTATCATTTTTTTTTTTAGGATAATGAAAAGGAAAAAGTAACTCAATCAAAATCATCATCATCGTCAGAAATACTAAAATTCATTGCAGAATCTTCATCATAATATCCAGTTGATATTGTTGTTAACGGTACTGAAACTAGAAAGTCATCAACTTCATTAGAATGTTTGTCATAAATGTCCTGATCATCGATTTCTGATAAATCTTCTTCATCACTTGCGTGAATCCAATCATCAAGGTTCTCAGCATTTTTCGTAACAGCGTGATACCACTCATCTTCAGATTTTCCATTTAAAATTATTATAATTATAATAGACATATCATCTACACAAATACGCTTTTCAGTTATAGTGTCACATAATTCAATCATTCCATCACATGCTCTAACAAATCGGTCCGGATCTCCTTTGTGTTTTTTTAGAAAACTTAAATAAATCTCCGTAGGATGTTTTTTAAATATTTTGAAACGATCCGTGATGCCTAATTATTTATGATATCATTAGATGTAAGAAAACTATATAAATAGAGAAGAACGGTAAATTATACCATCAGAAGCAAGCACAAGTAAATCAAGACTGGATGCCGGATAAACTTTATCAATTATCTCAGGTTCAGCTGTTAATATTAAAATATAAGTCTCGGATTAATAAATGTATATTTTAATTACGATAAATACAGGTGAATGGAAAATATTTCAGCATTGTTTAAGAGATTAATAATTATATAAATAAACCATAGCAATGCTTAAAATATTTTATTCACCCCTCTTATATATAAATTCATAATACCAATTAGGCCTTCTGAAAAAAAGCTTTTAATATAAAAATCGCTTAAAGAGCGGGTATATTGTATTTCATTAGATAAATCATCTTTCACTTTAATAAAAAAGATCTTAAGTTAATAATTCGTGTATCTTAAATATAAATAGACGTATTGTAATACTTGCCTCTTAAATACTTATGACCAGAACGTGCTTTTATAGTATACATGAAACCCTTTGGTCTTTGGGCTCTAAATCTCGATAGTTCACCTAAATTAATTAAAATAATTAAATATTAACTATAGCTCTAACATGAAATATTGTTCTTACTAGGTCAATTACATACTTTTATTGTGACAATTATGTTCTATATTAACTCTTGTTGACTTATTCGATGACATTATAAATACAGACGAGTCACCAGCAAATGCCTGATTATTTTCAAAGAAAAAATCAATACTAAAATAATAATAACGATAACAATAATATTGATATTCTTACAATATATAAATTTTTTTTAGGTGTCATCATAACCGTTAATGCCGTTGTACCGGACATTCGAACTTTATTTCCTTTTATACCTTTAACGTCAAGTGTTTTAAAATAGTTTTCAGTATCATCATATCCCTTTTTTATAGCATTTTTAATCATTTCCCCATTTTCAACAGTTGGTAATACACGTAAATGTTTAGCAATATATTTTGGCAAATGTTCAGCACAATCTGCCGAAATTTGATCTCCTTGTTCTATTTATAAAAGAAATTATTAATTCGATCTTTTATTTAAATATGAATTTTTGGAAGACAATATTATTTAATACCTCCATGACCATCATACACTCCAAACAAATAATATCTTTTCAATTTTTCATCTAATCCAAGTTCAATAGACATTTCATCTTGATTGTCTAAATTTTTACGTATTGGTAAGACTTAAAATTTTTATTCTACTATAGATATTTAATAATAGATTTACCTCCTCTTAAACCCGCCTTTGTAAGTGAAATTACATGAAGGCCATCATACTTCCAATATCTTTTTGAAAATTTTATTTTTTCATCTACCTCGTCAAGTATTGGTTGAACCATTTATTTTAAAAAATTTATTAAAAGAAAATATCTAAATTAATGTCCGGAAGTATTAAATTTTATAACTCTTCTTATTTTTTGTTAATTACTAAATCTATTAATGATCCGTTAATTAGTATTAAATTTATTTTTAGAAAGTTTGCTATAACAAATTTTTTTCATATTGTACTTACACGTTTAACTTCGAATGAAAAGATTTTAGCTTGATTTTGTTCAACTTGGTCGTTATTAAAACAGATACCCGCATATGCACAAATTCCTTAATTAGCAGTGATTATCGAATGATGGTTGCTCGGGATTTCGGTTTGTTATACCGTTTTTTTTGTACAACTAGATATGAAATATTTCGTATATCGTCTAACCAAATTGCAGACCACTTATTTATTGTCAATATCTGAACGCTATCTAATTTATCAAATGTAATTCATTCAATGACATCTTCGTAGTTTGTAGCATTAAGTTGAAATTCCTTAATATAATCAATAATTATTTTATTTCCACTTGCCCATTTATGAACTGTTTTAGGCACCAAGCGATTAAATTATTATAATTTGTGAATGGCACACATATTCAATTAGAACTTCTTTCCTTACTGAATTCATCAAATACTAACATATATTCATTGTTGGTCAATGTCCATATATTATATCGATTATCATCCTCACGTTTTGACGTTCGACTTTTATCGATTTTCAATTCAAAATTATCAACCTACTTCTAAAAAGTTTAACGAATTATTAGAACCAAGAAAATTTTTAACTGTCACCCTATAAGGTGGGGTACTTTACATGTATATCTCTTATGTTCACCTGAAATCATTTGTATTCGTCTAACCACATTGCTGATAGTTTTTCATCAATCTTTTTAATGTTATTAGTCTATCAAAAGGAAACCACTCGATAACATTCATTGCAGTTATCCACATTTTGTTTCCAACTTGTGCATCCTTGCTTGTTCTTCGAGAGTCGCGTGCCAAGCACCATGTTAGTTTCAGTGTTATAATGTTTACAATTTTTACGTTCTCCAAATTTATAATTTCTCATAATAAATTGCATATACCACTGCATGTTCGTTGGTAGTTACCTACACCACCGCCGCTTGTGATCCTTGTAAAAAGTCAAAAGCCAAATGTGTGAACGATGCGTTAAAAAAGTTTCGTTTGCACTAGTCCACGTCGGTTTACACCAATGCAATAATGATATAAGAATAGAACTTCGTTTAAAAATCTAACGAATTGTGAGAACCAGGTAATATTCTAAGCTCTACTTTATGTGGTGCACAGTAAATGCGTAAACTTGCCATCTCGTCCTAAAATCAAATAATCCAACCATGTTATTAAAATCCTTTGTTTTCCGAGTGTCATCCAATTTATTAAAAGGAACTCAATCGATAACATGTTCAAACCTACTAGAATAACCAAACTTAAATAGCAGCGCTCTGATAAGTTGATATAGTGATTTGAACCGAGAAAAATTTCCTTAATCGGTTAACCGAACCGAATTATTTCATTCAACCGATTGCCAAC